CCCCGGCAGCTGCAGGGTTGTACAGATGAATACGTTGCCAGGGCCACGTTCTTAAATTTTTTTCATACCCCTCCTGACCTTGTGAACATTCCTGCTCATTAACTCTTCTTTTGGCAGGGTCCTTGGTTTTAACAGTAGGAGCATCACAAATTTCACCACAAATGGAATAGAAGAGCCATTCACTTATTTTAAAACATCCAACAGAGGAGCAAGTGAAATTATTCAATTCCACATGTGGGCAACTTTTAATCTCTTTCTCATTTGACTCATTTTCCAAAGGTTTGGTCTGATATGATATTGTATCCATCTCTTTTAACCATATAGAGGGATAATGTTCCACCACCACTAAAGGTCACCATGAACAGCACAAATAAATCTTTCCATGGACAAAGAGACCTTCATCCTTTGTGAGTCATGACATGTAAAGCAAAGCTCATTCAGGTAAGCTCCTGAAACTGGACTAAGCTCTATTGCCTGAGGTTAAAATGTGTCTGGATATGAGTCATCATTCTTGGGATTGCAGTAGCAGCCAGGCACACTGAAAGAGTTTCTCCTGAGTCTCTCCTTCTATCATGCCACCTGCAGGTTGCACACAGTCAGCCAGAGACAAACTCCAAGTAGCACCCAGTCCAAGGAAGCGAAAGAGAGAGCACTATACATTTGAGAGAGTACATGAAAAGGAAAGCTCTTGTCCTTTTGATGACAGTTTTCCCAGTTTTCTGCTATGAAGAACGCCTTCCTGTTTCAAAACAAATCATCAAAGCAATCTATATATATAAAAGTGAAATACCACTCACACATCATCAATGAAATCTCCAGAACCGTAAAGCCTACAAACTTGAAATTTGGCACGTATGTTCCTCTTGGCTTCTAGGTGCTCGCTAAGAAAGGATTTTTTGAAATGACCATCAGATCATTAGTATTTCTTATATTATTTTTAACACGCTCTGATGCTAAGGAGTTAGACATTCTACTCCCCCTCCCCACTTGAAAAGAACTCTGTTCCAACTGCCACTTGGCCGTGGCCATGGGCAGCATGTGATTCATCCAGCCTGTAGGCTGGGAGCTTAGATATTCTATTCCCCACCTGAAAGGGACAGAAGGGGATAAGATAGGAGAGGCCTCTGTGCGGCAAGCCTGAGGGAGAGAAGGGGAGAAGAGAGGCCGATCAACTACTCATTAATTTTCAAGCTGTAAGTGTCGATTTATCAAGCCCGATCACATAGTTTCATAGCGGAGCACGGGTATCCAGCTAGTCTCTTATAAGTCTGAAAGTTACTAGTCCTATCCCCCCCAGGAGAAGATTGATTAGTTTCCAGATAGGAGGCTAACATTTAAGCCATTCCCAGCTGGGCAGCCAGTGAGAATGTCCTTGCCTGTGGCTGACTAGATCTGCTCTTCTCTTTATGCTGCCAATTAGAAATCTCACAAGCAGAAATATTTAGGCTTAGCTCACGTAGAGGAGCTTACCTGGACCAGAACAGGCCAGCAACCATATTTGGAGGAAGAGTACTATCACATTGCCTTCTATTAACCTCCCACTCATTATCAAAGGTCAAAGCAACCTCTGGTATGTTTTTCGGCTTTACTTCTGGAGCATTCTTTCCATATGATGTCATCTCAAATGATCCCATTCGTTTTGGGTAGCACACTTTATTTTTTATAATCTCATTGGTCCACTTCACAGAGCCAGCAATGACTATTCAATTGACTCTATGGTTGCTACAATTTCTAATAGCTTTTAGAGTTACCAGGAATGCTGGAAAGTCAGAATGATTACACTTTCCTTGTAAACAGAAGGGTGCTGGTTTGAAATCTGACAGATTTTATATTTTAAAATATATTACTATGTTTTATTTCTCTGAGCTACCTAATTTTTGGTGTACCATCTCATAATTTGTCCACTCACCTGAGGTAGAAGACTTTTACCTCAGCTTCCAAATATTTCATAGGATGTTACATCTACTTATAGCTATACTAACACACACAGACTTACAAATGCAAAAGCATAAATCCAGTAAGATTAACCCAAAGAAAGAAAAGTGATGGGTGCTTGTTTGTGGAACAAAAATGTAGGAGGACACAGCAAGAAAATTGTCCAATGGGAGATAACCTGCTGCCTTGGCCAAATATCTGCTGTTGTTAAAATGTCTTAGTCAGAGTTAATGTTTCACATGTATTGTATATTTTGGGCATGCTCATAAAATGGCTACTAGGGAGGGCACCAAGCACATATTTACCAGAAAGTAAAATAGGTAAAGTTCTCTCCATCTCAACTCTATCATTCTAGGAAGTAACCCATCATCTTAGGTTTTCTTTGTCTTTTTTCCTCGGTAAATGTATATAAAGCAGGGGTGAAATCCAGCAGGTTCTGACAAGTTCTGGAGAACCAGTAGCGGAAATTTTGAGTAATTCGGAGAAGCGGTAGTGGAAATTTTGAGTAGTTTGGAGAACCGGCAAATACCACCTCTGGCTGGTCCCAGAGTGGGGTGGGAATGGGGATTTTGCAATATCCTTCTCCTGGAGTGGGGTGAGAATGGAGATTTTGCAGTATCCTTCCCCAGCCACGCCCAACAAGCCACACCCACCAAGCCACACCATGCCCACCAAGCCACGCCCACAGAGCCGGTAGTAAAAAAAATTGAATTTCACCTGTGATGTAAGGAATACTAAACTGCAATCAATCACCATATTATTTTTTGGAGTTAGACGAAGAATACAGTATATTTGCAAAGCAAAGCACCAACTTTCTAAGCATTTATTCATTCAATTAAAGTAAGGTAATAAATAGGATTTATTTTCTGCTTCACAGAACAGCTTGACCAAAGAGGAAAATGACATAATTTTTAATGGAAAAGATGAGAAACAGCTGAATGTTGTTCTTGCAAACTGTCAAGCATGGACATCATATTTGCTACAAGCAAGATCTGTGACAGAATACCTTTACAACTTCAGTTATATAAGAGGAAGAGCACTGTGTGCCATGTGTTTTGCAGTCCTGAAGCTGACATATGTAGGAAACAATCTCATTTCATTGTTGAAATTTGGTTAGATTCATACATGGTAGAGGCTCAATACTGCATTACAAAGTTATAGATATTATTAGATTGAATTGTAATCTTGTTTACTCATCTTACTATTCTTTAATTCTAAAATTATACTGACAGGAGGCATCTGTTTTGTCATTTGCCCACTCCTTTGGCTGTATGTACCCATAAACAAATTCTGTATAAAATAAGTTTTCCTACATTAAAAAATCTACAACTGCTAAATTTCTGCATACAAGCAGATTTTAAAGATCCGGAAACCATCCATTATTATATAGATAAAATCACATCCTTTTGTTCAGTGTTAATTATTGCATGATAACATCCTTTTCTCACCCACACACTCAAAAGGATGTATTTAAAAGGATAATAGCATACCAATATGTTATCCTTTACAGTACAATTAGCACTTGGGGGAATAATTTATATGCTCCTTAACCCTACCCCAGTGCCAGTAAATATCCATTTATTACAATTTGATCCCAATCCTGGGTTCATCCCCAGGCATTTTCACTTTCTCAATTTCCTGTATCAAAATCAATTTGGCTGCAAAATGGAGACTGAAATTGTTTCATATATATTCATGGTTGCATATAGTACATCAGTTATTGCTTAATTGTACTTGGAAGAGGAGACTGACCAATGTGTTTTTAAAAATTCTCTCTGACCTTAAATGTATTTTCATCATTGTTCTCTTCCCACTACTATTACTTTCCTATCATCCAACCTGGGCATCCTTTGTTCATCCTTTGTTCAAGAAACTCATTAGTCAGAATACAGTTAAAAATATTCTGCCTCCCAATCTCACAAAGAGTGACAGAATCCTTCTCTCAAATCAGACAGTCATATTCTTTTATATCTGGATCTCCCAATATTTCCTATCTGGAATTCTTTAGAAAAGCCATACATAGAATAATCAGAACTTAATCCAGGCCTAATACTTAGGACAGAACATGCCAAACAATTAGAAAGACCTGAAATCAGAACAAAGCCAATGCAGGGGATAGTGATTAGGTGCTTTCAGGCAAGAATTTAATACCTCAAAGTGGTGCTTCATTTATGAATTTTTAAAAGGGGTCTATACAACACCATTATCCATTTATAACAATACTACATTTTTCCACAGAAATTTCTGTATGTTTTCCACAATATTCCATAGGGGAATACAAGATGGAATAGATCCATCATATTGTCATTTATTTATATAGGTAGTCCTTGACTTACGACCAAAACGGAGCCCAAAATACCTGTTGCTAAGTCAGGCAGTTGTTTTAAGTAAGTTTTGCCCCATTTTACGACCTTTCTTGCCACAGTTTTTAAGTGAATCACTGCAGTTGTCAAGTTAGTAACACGGTTGTTAAATGAATCTGGCTCCATCATTGACTTTGCTTGTCAGAAAGTCACAAAAGTTGATCACATGACCTTGGGACAGTGCAACCATCATAAATGTGAGTCAGTTGCCAAGTGTCCGAATTTTGATCATGAGAATTCTGCCATGGTCGTAAGTGTGAAAAACAGTCATAAATCACTCTTTCAGTGCCATTGTAACTTCAAATGGTCACTAAACAAACTGTTGTAAATTGAGGACTGCATGTACTACTCAAGGTCCATCAGAAAGTAACCCAGGACTGCAGGGTGTATAACCAACACTTGTCTGCTCTGATTACAGGAAATTAATTTTAGGGTTTTTTTTAATTTTTGCTTTACTAAAAATATGCCTTTCTTATTTTCATTTCTTTTTATTTATATATAAAGCACATGTAAATCCAATGGTCATCCATGGATTGGACAAATTTATTAAACACTTTATTAACAATGTTCAATAAAATATTTTTGAAAAGAAATTGTTTGTGACATTTTTAAAACTTTGGCTCCTTGCTATGCATAGAGGTATATGAAAAAATTCAACTCCCATTCCTGACTAGGACTTATCTCTCAGGCTTTAGCTCTTACCGGATAGGAATCTTGACTCGGAGATAGCGATCCACAGCAATAGCCAATAATGCCAAAATGGAGCTTTCTGTCAGGATGAGGAGAGGACATATCAACATCAGGCAGCTGTAGAAATCCATAGTTGGTCCTTGGTATATAATGATGGCCAGAGGAATTGCAAGTGTTCCCACAGCTGCGTCTGCCACTGCCAGAGACACAATAAAGTAGAAGGTGGCATCCCGTAGAGACTTGTTCACTTTGACAGCCCAGATCACCAGGATATTCCCGGGGATGGATACAAGGGCAATCAGCACCTCTATGCAGATATAAGCAGTCTCGAATACCTTGCTCTCTGACATGATGTCCTGATGCGCACTAGCTGCAGACCCTTAAATTTCCTGAAATGATTAACATAGACATAAGATATGGTCAACAATAGCTACTACAGCATTTCAAGCTATCCAGTTACTTTACAGAATGTGGCACAAAAATATGAACAAATATTCACATTTTTCACAATCTGTATTTACAAGCAAATTTTACAAGGCAAAAGAGTTTCTGGTGCAGGGGAAGTCTATTATTTTAAATCCTGCACAATTACAGCATTTTGTTTAAGCGGCCGTTCTCCAATTTGTCACCAAGAATGTCACATGTTGAATATGTAATATGAGTCAAGCCACTGCACAGAAAAACTTCTATTCCATCAAAAAGATTGCTACAATTAAGGCTGGGTCCTTCCTCGCTGCTTCATTTGATCCCAACCATTCTGTTCAGCAACCATATAGAGTTCATCTGAAACATCTAAAGCAGGGATCTCCAACCTTGGCAACTTTAAGACTTGTGGACTTCAACTCCTAGAATTCCTCAGCTAGCAAAGCTGGCAAGCAAAGCTGGCTGAGGAACTCTGGGAGTTGAAGTCCACAAGTCTTAAAGTTGCCAAGGTTGGAGACCCCTGATCTAAAGGACCGTTTCTGAATACTGCTGATTCACAACAACAGTGAAACCTTCCTTGAAGAAATCACCCTTCTTGAATGCATACACAATTGATATCTGCAATATTGCGACTTATAGTATTTTGCATTCACTCTACAAAATTGTAACCTCCTTGCCTTCAAGAGCAAGGGAATTCCAAAATGCAACAACTCCTTGGAAGGACTTCCTCATATGTCTGCTTACCTGAGAAAACACCACACTCAAAAAATAATGCAGGGACTGGGGTGTCAAGGCTTATCTCCCAACAGTTTCTTTACCAATCTGATCCCTGCCTGACTGCATATGATGGCGCTTCTGTTATTTTGGTATCATAATCCCAAATAAGTCATTGTGATGTAGTGGTCTTAGTGCAGACAGAGTGGGGAGACCTAGATTTTAGTCTTACTTTACCCAAGGAAGTTGGATGATTTTATTCTCTCATTCTCTCTCAGTCATTCTCTCTCAGCTTACTAGATATGACTGACATATCTATCAACCTGTACCAGAGCACTGTGGTACTTGATGTCCATGATTATCAATAAACGATCGCAAGTAGATGCACCTTAAAAGTCATAGATTTTGAACTGTAAAAACAATTCACTAACCCCATATATTTTAGTAACAAGCAATATAATTAATTAAAAGGGGGGGAAACACTATTAAACATATTCAGATATGTAAAAGTCAACAGACACAAACATTAAAAATGTAATTGTAGGGGGAGGCCTGTGATTCAGCTAGACATCCAAAGTCAAAGATTATGGATAACTGATATGCGTAAAAGTGTCCTTTATGTTTATGAGGATAATGAAGAAAGCTAATAGGTATTTGACCCGAGGCACAATTTTTATGAGACTAGTAAGGAATTACTTATGGGGTGTCCATGGGGTTTCCAAAAAGTCATAGTGGTGGCTATAACTATATGATTGAACCCTTGTTCCTTTTTTGCATGCACTGCATTACTGCAAAGAAAAATTGAGAACCCTTAAGATTGTGTATAAACTTGTGCATTGTTGATCTATGGAGCTGAGATGTGCAACTTTTTCAGGATAAAGGCCCTCATATTGCCTTTGAGCGCAATGCCTAAGATTACAATATCAAAAAAGTAGGTACGATATTTAATTTTTCCCACTTCATATGTATATTTTATTTAACTAAAAGCACTTCCACATAATAGATTTACATTTTTCCAAAATAAGTTCACCACCTACATTATCTCACACTGTCTGTATTTTCAGGCAATTTATTTCCAGCTCAGTTGCAACATATCCACAAAATCACAAAAGTGGAATCTTTTCATTTGCATGTTGAAACTCTACAGAACCTGTCAGCATAACATTATTTCGTTGGCGGGAAGTTGCTTGACTGTACCTTCTAGATCTTGGGCTCAAGCCAATGTCTTCCTCCTTCTCTCAGAGGTTTGGCTGCCATGGGGTCTTAGCAGCTTTGCATCTCCCCTTCCCCAATACTATTGTTTTGTTTTCATTACTAGGTAAAAATACACACTACACAAACTAAAGATCTAGAAGGAAAGACACCAATCGTTTTTCCTGGGCTCTCTTACTGCAGAACTGAAAGAAAGAACTAACTTCAGCATTTCAAGTGCTGACCTGAGACACTGGAAAATATGCTCCTACATGAAGAAGTACAAGTTGGTAACAAGCTGAAAGCCTCTAGGGCTCACAAGTGAGATGGGAGACCCTGGTGAATCTATGGGTTATTACTCAAAGAAATTTACCAAAACAGGATGCATATACTATCATAAAAACAGGAGCAAGAAATTTATCTAAAAGGCAGCCAGCAACTGTTACGATATGTCCCAAATACCTGGCAAAAGAGCCAAGTTTTAAAAGCAAAGTGGTTCGGGGGATTCCCTATCTCAGGAGGCAGAGCATTTCAGAGGAAGTTGTGTCATTTTGCTGCTTCCTCACTCCCCGCCCCTTTCCTTCACAAGGAATGGGGACCCTCCATAATCTGCCTCTGCAAAAAAGACTCGGAACACCTTACATTCTGCAATGATACCTCAACACTGCCAAACATCACCATCTACCTATCCCAAGTCCTTAGGAAAGATTCGATAAGTGGATAAAAATGCCAAATCCAGTCTGAACATCTGGCTGATTTTGTGATGAACAATAAATATGGATAGTCCCACAGGCCCTTAGCAGTTGATAATAATTACTTTGGGCAACCCTGATCTAGATAACAATCAACATCATTCTAACACTTTGATTCAGAATCATGGTTTTTCCTCTATTTTTGAGCTATAGGACAATTTTAAGATGTGAGCTGGCAATTACCTTATTTTTGCCTTGTGATTATTATAGATTTTAAGCCAGCACTGCTGTCAAATAGATGGACAGCAACTATTTCATCCTTTCTTCCCTCAAAGATGCCAGCAAGAGTTGAACAATGATATTTTGTGTGCAGTGCATATGCTCTACCAATGAGCTACCCCATTCTTTTATGATGGATCTTATCATACTTCCTACAAATCTAGCAATCAGAGAAGATTTCTTCATCCTATAAATATAATACAGTATCCTGTCCCCCAGATAATAGGTAGAGTTCATAAACAGGCTGCAGTTTCCATCTAAAAATAAAATGGGGATAATATACAAATCCTCATAGGAAATGGGAAACAGAGCAGTCCAAAATAACTATAACATAAACAATTCCTAAATAATGGCAAATAAGGAGTGGTATAATTTGTAATTAATCATATTAATTATTCAGTAGTCACATCAATAGTTACAAGCAGCATATTGCAGATGTTGGTAACAACAGCAATGAAAGCATAACTGAGGAAATGAATAATTACATTTCTCCAGGTATGACAAATTGTGCTGTTTATTCTTGAAAAAACGTGATTCCACTGTGAGACAATGGCAACCTTGGAGGGAAGAAATGTGAATTATGCATAACAAATGAGATGCAAATGTGGATGTATTAAGCAAAGAATAGGCTTTATCACAACATAGACTACTTGGTGCTACACAAGTTCCTTTTTTGTCCCATTAAATAGTTTCTCATTAAACGGATGTAACATATTTTCAACCTGTACCGGGAAAAGGCTATGCATTGAGGAGAGGCAGAAGGAACAAAGCTTCAGGAATATGTCAGCAAATGTCGCAATAGATAAGTGCAAGATATTTTTGAGCAACGAAGGCACCTCTTGAATGAATCCTCAAACATTACTTGTTCCCATTTCCACTCCAGAACACCTTTGAACCTGTATTTTTTTTTTCCTTCTGCAGTTTCCTCCACCACAAACCTCGCATCACCAATCCTCCCATCACCAAACCTTGCATCTTATTTTATTACATCGTCCCTTTAGGCTCTGGGGGAATAACTGGTTGTATGCAACCAACAAGACTCAGTGACAAAATAATGCAGATACTCTCTAAGATACTGCTGCCCTTTTGTGCTTTCTCCTTGAAATACATTCATTTGGGGGGGGGAAATATCAGGGTAGCATCCCCATTCCCGGCCTGGTGCTGTCGAAACGGCCACCCTGCCTATCAAGCACAGGGGAGTGAAAGTCTCTAATCCAGTGTTTCTCAACCTTGGTAGCTTGAAGATGGGGTGGACTTCAACTCCCAGAATCCCCCAGCCAGCGTTGCTGGCTGGGGGTTTCTGGGAGTTGAAGTCCCCCCATCTTCAAGCTTCCAAGGTTGAGAAACACTGCTATCTGAAAGGCATCAGGTGCAGGGAAGGCTGGGAAGCACTTTCGGCGACTGGCACAAATCCTCCCGCCCTTCAGAGAGAAGTTATGGGTTAATGGGAAGAACGACCCCGGCCTGACCTCCAGCCTTCCTTTTCTCTGAGAGTCGCCCCGTTAATCTGACTGTCCACCCCCCCCCCCCAACCTCTCCCTGCCCTTTTCCCGTCCGGCTTACAGCTTTTGTCAGAACAAAGGCGCCCCCTGCATTCCCCGCTTCCCTCTCCTCAGTCCCGGCCGCGAGATTCAATCTTCCGATTTCAGGCAACCCAGAAAGAATCGAGGTCACCGAGCGCCAGAAAGCGCTGCGCCCCGAACCCGCCCGCGCTCCGAGGCTCACCTGGCCCCCCGCGCACTTTCCTCCTCCAAGCGAAGCCTTCCCGCTCAGGACAGGCTGGCGGCTGTAGGGGCAGCGGCTGCGGGAGAGATGAGGTGGGCGCATCCTCCTCTCGGCCGGCTCGGTTACTGGGCTCCTGTATCTCTTGGCAGCTCGGGATGCCAGCAGCCCGGCCGGGACTTGTGGAGTTTGGGGCGGTTCAATGCGGTGAATGCGGACCCCGATGCAGGCAGGCGGCTCTCATCCTGAAGCCTTCTCTGCTCTCCTCCCCCTCGCCGCTTCCCGCTGCCGACCGAAGGTATCACATGGTCCGGCGGGCTGCACAGAACAGGGTTCCTTGCGGTATTTTAAAGAGGAGTCGCCTGCTTTGAGGGTCGGCGGGGCGCAGTGCGCAAGCGCGCGGGTCCGGGAGTTTGGGTGGGTGTTCGCAGAGGCCAGAATTCCAACAGCGCCGCTGCACCAGAACCGCACCGCGCCGTGCCGCTTTCCTCTCTGGCCCAGGAGCTGAAAGCCGAGGTGTCTGAAACTGAAAGGGAGCCGAGTCCCGGGGGTGCCCTGCTCGCCTCCTTGCCCTCGAGTTGCCAGAAGCCTTAAAAGTTACCCGAAGCTTCTAAGAGCCAACTCTGCCCCAAAGCCCCTCCGTTCCTTTCTGCTGCACGTGTGCCGACTTGCATTAGGGTCACAAAAAAAAAATCAAAGCAGAAGGCTGAAAATAATCAAGGCTTCCGTTAGTGTGAAGCATTCTCTGCTGTGTTGGCAGGCAAGAGAGAGGCTTCCACGTGAGCCCCGGAGTTCTTGGGTATCTTCCCATGATCCCATGATGCCTTTTTTTTTTTTTAATTTGATTTATATGCCGCCCTTCTCCGAAGACTCAGGGCGGTTTACAATGTGCTCGGCAATAGCCTTCATCCTTTTGTATATTTATACAAAGTCAGCTTATTGCCCCCACAAACTGGGTCCTCATTTCACCTACCTTAGAAAGGATGGAAGGCTGAGTCAACCTTGAGCCTTGGCGAGATTCGAACCCTGCAGTAATTGCAGGCAGCTGGTCTTAATAAGCTTAATAACAGGATGCCTTAAACCCGTGTACTACCAAGGCTCTTATCTGTGCCATAGGTGAGGGGCTCACTCAGCTCCCAGTCTGATCCGAACCGTCTGATCCCTAGGAAAGACCTTTTGGCCTCCTGGGATTTAACCCCGGTAGAGCAGGTGGTTCTGCTGGTTTTAACTCCTGATCTTATTGTTCTGCAGTTGTGCTGTTTTTGACTCTTTTTGTTTTACAAAGGGCCTCGGAAACCGATCTTCAAAAGTAATGTGTGTTGTGAAATAACATAGTCTCTCGCTGGTTGGGAGAGACTGTAGGAAGTTGGAAAGGATGTCAAGGATCCTTCTATATGTGCAAGAACTCTACCTGTATGGTATTTAAATAAATAAATGATTGATTGATTGATTGATTGATTGATTGATTGATTGATTATTGATTAATTAATAAATTTCGGCCAGAATCAGATCAGCAGCAAGAATGAGAGAGATCTAAAATTAAAAACATTGAATTTCATAAATAAGGTGTAATAGTTATTTAAGAATGTCAGCAAGCAAATGCATGAAGATTATGTAGAGAAGTCCACCAAAGGCTCTGGAATCAATTTAGCTAAGGTGGGATCTAAACACTGTTCTTTCTTTCTTTCTTTCTTTCTTTCTTTCTTTGTTTTGTATGGCTGCCCATCTCACCAAGCGACTCTGAGTGGCAAAAAATTTTTTTAAACAATACAAACGATTAGAATAAAGTGAATATTAAAGTACACAGCAGCCAAGAACAAAGCACCCGTCATAATGACTAAAAATATTAGGTATTACCAATTCGTAATTTTTGCAAAGGAGAAATGCAAACAATGAAGTTCCTCAATTACAACTTTTGAAACTAGCATTTTTATTTTTCTTCATAAATGCTCTGGAGAGTTCAGATAAGCAATGATACAACCATGTCTGCAGAATAAGAAATTGTATAAGTAGTATAAAAAGATTGTTCCAAACTGCATGGTAAAAATAATAATGGAGCAAAGTGTAAAGAATTACACTTTGCTGCAATATTACATTAAAGAATGTCCATTATGGCAAAAAGGCTTAAATTCTTATATATCCAGCTGGCATCAAAACAGGAGGTAACTGGTAGAGAAAAAGTTCTGAGTTACATTAGTACAGTCTTTGGTGCTGAGCTAGGATGATTTTCATTACCAAACTATTGTTTACTTTTTGATTGTTGGTCTGATATAATTAAGGAACTAAGTCAGAAAAACAAGCTAACAGTAAACAACAGACTAATGAAGGAAGTTCCAAGACCACTTCCACCAACACTGACAGGGCAAGCCCCTAGTTAGTATATAAAATAAGAGCAAACCTCACTCCTTACTAGCCCTGATAATGTTACCTAGTTTGGTAATGAAATGTCTGCAAGAAAACAACCAAGCTCAGAGAACACCAAGACCTCACAGTTCAACCCTGAGCTACAAATGTTCTCTTCTATCAATTAGGTTAATAATTTGAAACATGTGGCAGACTTCCACTCTAAGGATCACTAAAGAAACAGAAAACAAAGCTGCCAAGATTTAAGTAATTTTAAGTAACACCCATATTTATAATTTAACAATAATTAGATTTGAAATATCTTTTTTCCACATCACAAAAAGGCTATTTTACAGCTGGGAAAAGATAGTAGAAAACCTCAGGGGGCTGGTCTGACTCTCCTATGAAGAAAAGATTTTTACATTTGCATTTTAGAAATAAAAGATAAGCAAGAACAGACACAATAGAATTGACTGGACTAATTGCAGAGGAAATTTATAAGCATGGGAAAAATGGAGAAAGTAACATTTTCTATCTCTCATCATTCTAGAACCTACTCAAGATTATCAAATCTAGCATAACAATGGATGATTCCAGTCAAATATCAGGAAAAAAATTTTTTTTCATGCAAATGACAGAACAATTAATCAGTAGAATGATTTGCCTCCAGAAGTTGTGGGTGCTTCACCATTGGATGTTTTTGAAGATATTGGACAACCATTTGTCTGATATGATATACAGTGTCCTGCTTGAACAGGGTGTTGGACTAGAAGGCCTCCAAGATTCCTTCCAACTCTGTTATTCTTTTAAATAATATAAAAGTTCGTTAATCAGATACACTAGGTGGCCATTCCACTAAAATGACATAGCTTTTAAATAGAGATTCATTCTTGGAGGATATGTATGGTGTGGTTTTTCCAGGACCCAATGCAAGATTGTTAATAAGTGACAGAGAAGCAACTGTCCAAAGGAGATATGGGCTTCATAGCTTAAGTCTTCTTGGAGGCTCCTCAGAGGCAGCTACTGCCAGTCTTTTTGAGAAGCAGGATGAACAGATTAGGCTTTCAACACTTTCTTATATTTTTAAATAGAATCATTTTGATCTAAATTGGGAATTATCTAGATTGGGGCTACAATTTTAGATATGATGACAGATATTTGTGAACACCCATCCTCAGCCCTATAACCCTCTGCAGGAAACACCCACTCAGGTCCCAGCCTAGATTTGGGGGAAGGGGGGAGCAGCAAGAAGAATTTTTTAGCCACACATTTTTATCAAGTAAATACTCCCCACACTTCAAGTGTCATGATATAATTAGAGAGCTGGATGAATCTTGAGTAGAGTTTTTTCCCTCCCAGCCTATTCCACCCTATGCAGTAGCTGTTCAGATGATTTGGGAATGGGTAACGGACATATATGGCACCATGAGTTCCGACAAATGCAGTATATAAATGCAACAAATAAAGGAACATCAGAGCAATTCACAGAATGTTGGCTATATTTCTGTGATGTCACAAATGGCTTCATTCTTAGGAAGGGATTAAGACATTTCCTGTTGTGAGCATTTCTATTGCAGAGACAGCATAGATCTAATAGAATTCATTATCTGTTGTAATCAGATGCCAATCCTTCCTATAACATCACACATTGTAACATCATACATTTTGCTTCAAGTCTCCACTGTATGCATGTTTTTAAATTTGTTGTTTTTAAAGCTATGTAATGTTTGGTGCATAAATACTACCATCACTCATTTGCTCCAACACCAGGAGATGCTTTCCTAAGCAAAAATTCTAGGCACCATGATGAACCCATATATGTAAATCAGCAACTTACAAACTGTATCGATCATTGCTGTATTATGCGTATAGTACATTCTGATGTTTAATTAGGGCTATTTATCAAGAGACATACCACAGCTGGGCTTCCTGCAAATGCTTCTGGATTTGTACATTAAGTGGAGCCACGTGGAGCTAAGAATCAGATGATGAGGTTGTGTAATTGTTTGAATATATGTTTTTCTTTCCTATCAACTCATATCTTTTTTTTTTAATTTTAATTTTTATTTCTCATAAACACATTTACATGTACAGTCATTTCCATCATTTTTCATTCATCTTTTCTTTTCACTTTCATTTTTCATTTTTACTTTTTCGGGACTGCTCTTTTTCTTTTCTTTTTTTTTTCCAACTCATATCCAGCCAGACTTTTCATGGCACTATAAATGACTCCTGTGCATCCATATAGGAATGGCATATAGGAATATTCACAATGAACGGTTTCTTTTTTTATGTGAACATTATGTGAACCTACCCACTGTTTTACACCATGCTTTAATATGTTGTGTGAACCCTATAAATGTAGGCTTGTTTAACAAAACATGGGTAAACAAGTCAAAGTTTGCTGCTGCACATGTATTCCTCATTTCAGACCCAGGCCATTGGCCTAGCCAGATCAGTAATGTCCACATGCTACCTGACAGTGTCTTGTCTGGGTTTCATAGAGGAATAGAGTTAGCTTTTGTAGTAAGATGGGCAGCCTATAAATTTTATAAATCAATAAAATCAATAATATCTATCAATCAATCAATAAATATTGAGCACATTGTAAGCCGCCCTGAGTCTCCGGAGAAGGGCGGCATATAAATCAAATTTAAAAATATATATCTTAAGATGTTTTGAAGTAGACTTTCTGTAAAGAAAACCTGAGCCCAAACCACCTTTTTCACAACACACCAAAGTGCATTGACTCAGACTTCCAGGGAAGAAATAGCAGATTGAAGACAGCTCTTTTGAAAGGGAAGCTGACAACCACAGTGGACTGAAGAGCTGCTGTGTAGACTGGCTCTTCATAATTCCTCTCCTGTCACCCACAATTGCTCCAGACATTTGCTTCTGGTGAGGAGAACACAAGACAGTGGTCTCTGATAGATTTAGATCTCTGGGAGATGAGGGGAAAGTCATCTTGATCAAACCATAGTTGGCACCTTTTAAAATACAAGGTTTCACATACTTTTCTAATCACTTTTGGAAATTCCTTGTTGAGTATTTTTCAGCTATTAAGATCCTTTGCAGCAAAAAATCTGAAAATACCAGATGAGTTTCCTTCAATCCTTAGTGAAAGAAGTTTGAAATATAAATTTAAGACCTTTTTTAAAATAAACAATAAAAAAGGTAATTAGAACTTTGATTTTTTTTGAAAGTTACAAACAAACTAAGGGTCCAAATGGATTTAAAATAAGATTCTGGAATTAATTATAAGAATCCTTCCTACAGGAAAAATGATTTTGTTTTGAATTCCTTAAAAAACATAGGATGGGACTTTGAAGATTGGACACTAGAAGGAACTAGAAGGAAGTTAAGATTAGAATGAAAGGAAAACAAACTTGACT